AATTTAATATGTAATGAAATAAAATATTCTATAGGGAGGTAATGAAATTATTTTGTACTGTATGGAATAATAAAATATTCTAGGGAAGTAATGAAATTACTTTATTTTATTCAGTATTTACACATGTTTATTCTATTATGTACAAACTTCACACTTCACTGTTATATCGTTTTACAAAAACGTTCGTCACTGTGTGTGATGTATTTGAGTACAACAGTTACTGTGTAGAAGAATACTTAATTACTAGTGGTAGACGGTTAACACTGGTTGAGGTCAAAGCCGTGCAGTTCGATGAAACTCTCCAAGCATCGTGGAACGTTGCCACGGTAGGATATGTCGTAGAATTTCACCGCTTTCGCTGCCATACATTTTAAAGACAGTTTCGTGTGAGTCCTTAGAATGGTCTTTGGTACACCTAAAAACGATTGTAAATGTCATCGATCGTACGTAGGCTCTTCATTTATACAGGGTGTCCCAGAACTAGTATTAAGCCTTCAAATAGGCAAGAGTTGAGGTAATTTTAAACAACTTTTTCCATTGCAAAAATGTTGTCCGAGGCGTGGTTGTCGAGTTATTAACGAAGAATCGCGACCAATCAGCGCGCCCGTACAGCAGACGCACAGGGGTGCGATAACTGCCTTCGAGACTGCAGCCCCGTATGCCACGCTCATGACGAGAACCTAGACACATTGAAATTCTTCTACGAGTAGGTGAAATTAAAGACGAACGATTAAGTTAAACTCTAATTCTTTTCCCATTTTTTATGCTTTACCTACTACGTAATTTATAAAGTTGTTAGTTATCCCACTGAATATGTTGCATCTATTCAGTGAACATAACTAACGAGTAATTGCTTTCTTTTCTGTGATATTTAATCAATTTCTTAGTTGCTCTTGCATGTAAGTATTGATTTAATCCTATGTTCTCGTCACGAGCGTGGCATACGGCCGCGGCAACGCACGATGCGGTTATCGCGCTCCTGCCTGCCTTGGATATGAGCGCTCCGATTGGTCGGGGATTTTTGTTAATAACTCGACAACCACGCCTTGAACAATTTTTTTGCACAGGAAAATATTATTTAAAATCACCTCAACTCGTCCCCACTTTCGGGCGTAGTATTAGTTCTGGTATACCCTATATACGAACCTGTGGTCACTGCATCGTATGGAGTCTTCCAACGGTTGTTGACGGTATCCATGTGTGCCCCAGCTTCGATCAATTCCATAATTATTGTGTTGATAGTCATAAAATCGCTGGCGGAGTCATGAATAAATTAGTATCGTAGAACATGATTACTATATCTTTTGATTAAATATTAAAATTTAATACCTAATCGGTTCCCCGTAGTCGATGATCAAGTGTAACGGTGTATTCCTGTTACTGTCCAATGCGTTCACGTCCGCACCACAGTCTATCAAAAGTTTAGCCGTGGCCGCGCAAGGATATCTGTAAAACGTTTCGATATGAAGTAATGAACGCTTGGCGAACGGTCGATCGCTCGACTTACTTGCAAACGTGATTGGTAATAGAATAGTCTACGAGCGTGTCCTCGTTCACGGCCAGATGCAACAGAGTTTGGCCGTCCTTCAGTCTCAACTGAAGAGCGCAGATTCTGCGAACCAGATGATGGGCTCTACATTTATCCTCCATCTCGTACCTGTTCCCCTTCAGAGACAGAAGCTTCGTCAAAATTGTCAGGATGTAGAGAGTAGTCATTATATTTGATTCCATTTCAGAATCCGGATTGTTGACTTTCGACTTATTATTAGCCAATTCCATTACGCAGGATTCTAATACGCTTAAGACCGGAGCGAAGTCGATTTCAATTTCCTCGACTATCATCTGTGAGAACACCTGTGAAGAACGATTACTTTACTTTCTTTACTTGAAATTAAAAAGTGATCCCTCATACGGACGAAACGGTACCTGGACAAACCGCAAGATATCTTTTCCCACGGGAATATCGTTCATCTGCTTCAGATGAAGAGCGTGTAGCCATAAATCGATACATTTATCGAACCTCTCACTCTCGGCAAACAGTATTCCACGAAATACAACATGACGAGGCACTTCCGGGTTCTGTGTGCCCAATATCCTCTCCCTCACAGCCAATGATTCCATGTGAATAGCGTTTTCATTGTTCCTAATATTGTGTAATTCCTCCACAGTCTCTGATTCTTTACAATTCTCATAAGCTTTCACGGGCTTTCCTAATTTTTTGTAAATAACGTTATCC